CCTTTTCAGTGGGAGTGCTTGTCCCCTGAGGTAAGCTTTGGTGTTTCTGGATGGGCAGGCTTTGAGGAATGGCACTCGGGGTAGGAACTCCACTCTTTCCTTGCCCTTTTTTACCCTTTTTGGTGTGTTTTCTGGGTGCCATGGTGGTGCTCTGGCTAGGGGCACTGGAGGTGTTCTGTTCCAACATTGCTCCTTGTTGCTGCCTGGTGCTTGGGGTTTCTCCTCTTTGGGAGGAGCTACACCAGGCCCCAAAGGCTGACATGAGTTCAGGGAGCAAGTCTGGGCTCTCTGATCTCCTTGATGTCCCAGGGACTGAAGGCAAACTAGAGATACCCTTTTCAGTGGGAGTGCTTGTCCCCTGAGGTAAGCTTTGGTGTTTCTGGATGGGCAGGCTTTGAGGAATGGCACTCGGGGTAGGAACTCCACTCTTTCCTTGCCCTTTTTTACCCTTTTTGGTGTGTTTTCTGGGTGCCATGGTGGTGCTCTGGCTAGGGGCACTGGAGGTGTTCTGTTCCAACATTGCTCCTTGTTGCTGCCTGGTGCTTGGGGTTTCTCCTCTTTGGGAGGAGCTACACCAGGCCCCAAAGGCTGACATGAGTTCAGGAAGCAAGTCTGGGCTCTCTGATCTCCTTGATGTCCCAGGGACTGAAGGCAAACTAGAGATACCCTTTTCAGTGGGAGTGCTTGTCCCCTGAGGTAAGCTTTGGTGTTTCTGAATGGGCAGGCTTTGAGGAATGGCACTCGGGGTAGGAACTCCACTCTTTCCTTGCCCTTTTTTACCCTCTTTGGTGTGTTTTCTGGGTGCCATGGTGGTGCTCTGGCTAGGGGCAGTGTAGGTGTCATTTCCCAAACTTGCCCCACGGTGCTCTCTACTTTTGGGGGTTTCTCTACTTTCTGAGCTTGATCTTTTCTTGCGTGATGTCTGACCCAAGGACAAGCCTCTCCTCCCAGCTGCCTTTGAAGTCACTGAATGTGTCTGGGTGCTACCACGAGGACCCACAGTGGAGTTTCTCTGTTTGTCAGACCCAAGGGTTGAGTAGTTTAGGCTGCCCAAGGTTGTTGGGCCCACAGTCAAGGGTGGCATTGGAGCTGCCCCTGGACCTGGAGCTCCCACGTGTCCAAGCTGATGACAGCTGACTAAGCTAGGGGCTCCAGGCTTCATCCCACCAGGAACCCCAGAACTTGGTGGGACAGTGGCTCCAGGGGTGAGAGGCTGCTTACCCTGTGGAATGTGTCCTCGCACCCTTCGAGCTGGAGAGCTGGAGCTTGCTACAGGTGAGGGCCTGTGAGTACAGTAGGGCTTTGGGCCCTGGTGAGAGCGCCGGAAGCTCCTACCCAAGGTGGAGGGAGGCCCCAGATGTGGGGGCTGTGAAGGCATAGTGGTGTTCAAGGGTGTGACCCCAAAGGGGGCCACTGGCTGTGCAGCCAAGCCTGCCAATGTGCTGAGAGAGGGCCTGGGAGGAAGGGCCAAAGCAGCAATTGGCAGGCTGGGGCAGAGCGGTCCTGTAAGATTGGTAATGGGAGGATGGCTCTGGGAAGAGACAGCAGAGCTGACCCACACTGGGGTGTGGGCCACCATGGTTGTGCTGCTGGGGGGATGGGGAAAGGTCTGGCTGAGGCCCACTGATGGCAGAGGCCTGGCCCCTCCCAGTGGAGAGGGGACCCCCCCATGGGCTTGTGGGGCCATGGCACAGCTGTTCCCAATGGCCTGGGTCTCACCCATCAGAAGACGGTTGATGCGCTGCAGAGCTTTCTTCTTCTCCCTGTCTAGGTCCTCAGCAGTCACTGGATGGGCCACTAACAGAGGTGGTGGCAGCTTCAGAGGTTCCCCTCGGCGGCATTGCAGGAGAGGAAACTTGCGTTTCCGTGGCCTGCTGGTGTCTCCCGTGGATGAGGACTTCTTCTTGGGCAATGGGTGTCCCGCCCTGCCTTCTGCCACCTTCTCACCCTGGGCCTTCTTTGGGGGAATCCCTGGGGATGAAGAACATTCCAGGGGCGGCTCCCCCTTGGATGGGTCTGGAGCCCTCCTCTTCAGGGCTTGGAGACCTCGTGTGGAGCTGTAGGAGCTGCTGATGGGGTTTCTTTTGGGGCAGGAGCTCATGCAGATGGCCCGGGAGCTCTCAGCTCTGTCTTGGGAGCTCTGGGTGCAGAGGTTTCTCCACAGAGGCCCAGGCCTGGGCACAAAGGCAGGCACACCGCTATGGGCCCCCAGGGGCCTAAAAGCAGATGCTCTCCCAGTGACCTGAGGGCGCCCCCTCTGATGTTCTCTATCTACAGGGTGCTCTGCTTGCTCAGCCACCACTTGGCCACTGTCTCCAGGGGCTGTGATCACAGTCCTCCCTGGGCAGGGTTCTTGGGGTGCTGGATGCTGGCAAGGAGCCACTTCCTGCCCCTGCACCCTACAAGGCGGCTGTCTGAGTCTGCGGCCTGGGATGCAGGAATTCATGAAAGCTGCAGTTGACAGCAGCGTCCTCCTCAGGAGACCTGGCATGCGGAGGGAGGAGGCAATATCCAAGTCTCCCAGAAAAGATCGAAGGGTCCGCAGGACCCTGGAAAAGCACCGAGCAGGCACTTTTCGCAACCGCTGAGAAGCAGTTGCAGGATGGCGGCAAGATGACCTGCGAGTGGTGCCACCAGCCCAGGAAGCCCTTAGTGGCCAACCAGTAGAGGGAAGTCGGCGAGGCCCATGACCGGGCTTCTTGTGGGACCCTTCTGGCAGGTCTCTGCCACTCAGCGCCGGGGGCAGGGGTGAGGGACAACACTTGCTGTGGGAAGTCTCCATAGCAGTCTTAGCGAAGGCGCTAGTGGGTAATTCTAGCGGCCATCGCAGAAGGCCTTCTTCGGCTGCTCACGCAGCTTCAGGCGAAGTGGCTGTCAGACCTGTTGCCAGGGCGCGGCTGAGGAAGGAATGAGTGGAGAACAGGCGAGCACGTGAGGAAAACCGTCAATACTGGGCAAGAGGCAGGCTCGCGCCAGCAACGGACGCGCGCGTGCAAATTCCGCGAGCGAGTGCAAAGTCAGCATGCACGTGCAAAGTCTGCATGCACGTGCAAAGTCTGCATGCACGTGCAAAGTCCGCGTGCTTGCACCAGATGCAGAAGAAATAGGCAAGGGAACTGCGTGCCTGGTGCGTGCGTGGGTCCTGGGGGACTGTTGAGTGCTGACACTGGGATGTGATTCAGATCCCGCTGGTCCACCTCCTGACCCAGTGAGGTTTCCGGATCATCTCGGAAGGGTTGTAGATGCTGGGTTTGAGGGGTGGCAGCTATGGCAAGGCCAGGGATCTCTCCCCTCAGACTGGTGCAACGACCCTGCCCCTCCCCAGAGGCAGCCAGGATGGCAGCACAGATGGGCTGAACTCCGATGGACGTGGGGGCAGTCAGAGGGCTGAGCAGGCTCTTGCTGCAGGTTGAAGGTAGCTCTTGGGGCGTGGAGCACGTGCGGACTAGGGTGAGGCAAGGACACCTTGTCCTCCCTTGAAGGTGTGAGCTAGTGTTTGTATCTAGCGTTGCTATGGTGAGGGTGGGCGGGGCTTAGTTTGACAGCCGGGAGCTCTTGCAATGGCAAGAATCCCTCAGCCCATGGCCCCGCCCCTGAGCTGTCAGAGTTCTGTCTTCTGTCCTGCCTGGGCCTGGCCAGTCAGAAGGGGAACTGCTGGGGGGCAAGTTTCTTTTTTTTTTTTTTTTTTTTTAAGAGAGAGTGGGGAGAGAGAGAGAGAGAGAGAGAGAGAGAGAGAGAGAGAGAGAGAGAATTTTTTTTTTTAATATTTATTTTTTAGTTCTGGGCTGACACAACATCTTTGTTTGTACGTGGTGCTGAGGATCGAACCCGGGCCGCACGCATGCCAGGGGAGCGCGCTACCGCTTGAGCCACATCCCCAGCCCCGATGGGGGGGCAGAAGGCCTTCTTCGGCTGCTCACGCAGCTTCAGGCGAAGTGGCTGTCAGACCTGTTGCCAGGGCGCGGCTGAGGAAGGAATGAGTGGAGAACAGGCGAGCACGTGAGGAAAACCGTCAATACTGGGCAAGAGGCAGGCTTGCGCCAGCAATGGACGCGCGCGTGCAAATTCCGCGTGCGTGTGCAAAGTCAGCATGCACGTGCAAAGTCTGCATGCACGTGCAAAGTCTGCATGCACGTGCAAAGTCCGCGTGCTTGCACCAGATGCAGAAGAAATAGGCAAGGGAACTGCGTGCCTGGTGCGTGCGTGGGTCCTGGGGGACTGTTGAGTGCTGACACTTGGATGTGATTCAGATCCCGCTGGTCCACCTCCTGACCCAGTGAGGTTTCCGGATCATCTCGGAAGGGTTGTAGATGCTGGGTTTGAGGGGTGGCAGCTATGGCAAGGCCAGGGATCTCTCCCCTCAGACTGGTGCAACGACCCTGCCCCTCCCCAGAGGCAGCCAGGATGGCAGCACAGATGGGCTGAACTCCGATGGACGTGGGGGCAGTCAGAGGGCTGAGCAGGCTCTTGCTGCAGGTTGAAGGTAGCTCTTGGGGCGTGGAGCACGTGCGGACTAGGGTGAGGCAAGGACACCTTGTCCTCCCTTGAAGGTGTGAGCTAGTGTTTGTATCTAGCGTTGCTATGGTGAGGGTGGGCGGGGCTTAGTTTGACAGCCGGGAGCTCTTGCAATGGCAAGAATCCCTCAGCCCATGGCCCCGCCCCTGAGCTGTCAGAGTTCTGTCTTCTGTCCTGCCTGGGCCTGGCCAGTCAGAAGGGGAACTGCTGGGGGGCAAGTTTCTTTTTTTTTTTTTTTTTTTTTAAAGAGAGAGTGGGGGAGAGAGAGAGAGAGAGAGAGAGAGAGAGAGAGAGAATTTTTTTTTTTAATATTTATTTTTTAGTTCTGGGCTGACACAACATCTTTGTTTGTACGTGGTGCTGAGGATCGAACCCGGGCCGCACGCATGCCAGGGGAGCGCGCTACCGCTTGAGCCACATCCCCAGCCCCGATGGGGGGGCAGAAGGCCTTCTTTGGCTGCTCACGCAGCTTCAGGCGAAGTGGCTGTCAGACCTGTTGCCAGGGCGCGGCTGAGGAAGGAATGAGTGGAGAACAGGCGAGCACGTGAGGAAAACCGTCAATACTGGGCAAGAGGCAGGCTTGCGCCAGCAAAGGACGCGCGCGTGCAAATTCCGCGTGCGTGTGCAAAGTCAGCATGCACGTGCAAAGTCTGCATGCACGTGCAAAGTCTGCATGCACGTGCAAAGTCCGCGTGCTTGCACCAGATGCAGAAGAAATAGGCAAGGGAACTGCGTGCCTGGTGCGTGCGTGGGTCCTGGGGGACTGTTGAGTGCTGACACTTGGATGTGATTCAGATCCCGCTGGTCCACCTCCTGACCCAGTGAGGTTTCCGGATCATCTCGGAAGGGTTGTAGATGCTGGGTTTGAGGGGTGGCAGCTATGGCAAGGCCAGGGATCTCTCCCCTCAGACTGGTGCAACGACCCTGCCCCTCCCCAGAGGCAGCCAGGATGGCAGCACAGATGGGCTGAACTCCGATGGACGTGGGGGCAGTCAGAGGGCTGAGCAGGCTCTTGCTGCAGGTTGAAGGTAGCTCTTGGGGCGTGGAGCACGTGCGGACTAGGGTGAGGCAAGGACACCTTGTCCTCCCTTGAAGGTGTGAGCTAGTGTTTGTATCTAGCGTTGCTATGGTGAGGGTGGGCGGGGCTTAGTTTGACAGCCGGGAGCTCTTGCAATGGCAAGAATCCCTCAGCCCATGGCCCCGCCCCTGAGCTGTCAGAGTTCTGTCTTCTGTCCTGCCTGGGCCTGGCCAGTCAGAAGGGGAACTGCTGGGGGGCAAGTTTCTTTTTTTTTTTTTTAAGAGAGAGTGGGGGAGAGAGAGAGAGAGAGAGAGAGAGAGAGAGAGAGAGAGAATTTTTTTTTTAATATTTATTTTTTAGTTCTGGGCTGACACAACATCTTTGTTTGTACGTGGTGCTGAGGATCGAACCCGGGCCGCACGCATGCCAGGGGAGCGCGCTACCGCTTGAGCCACATCCCCAGCCCCGATGGGGGGGCAGAAGGCCTTCTTCGGCTGCTCACGCAGCTTCAGGCGAAGTGGCTGTCAGACCTGTTGCCAGGGCGCGGCTGAGGAAGGAATGAGTGGAGAACAGGCGAGCACGTGAGGAAAACCGTCAATACTGGGCAAGAGGCAGGCTTGCGCCAGCAATGGACGCGCGCGTGCAAATTCCGCGTGCGTGTGCAAAGTCAGCATGCACGTGCAAAGTCTGCATGCACGTGCAAAGTCTGCATGCTCGTGCAAAGTCCGCGTGCTTGCACCAGATGCAGAAGAAATAGGCAAGGGAACTGCGTGCCTGGTGCGTGCGTGGGTCCTGGGGGACTGTTGAGTGCTGACACTTGGATGTGATTCAGATCCCGCTGGTCCACCTCCTGACCCAGTGAGGTTTCCGGATCATCTCGGAAGGGTTGTAGATGCTGGGTTTGAGGGGTGGCAGCTATGGCAAGGCCAGGGATCGCTCCCCTCAGACTGGTGCAACGACCCTGCCCCTCCCCAGAGGCAGCCAGGATGGCAGCACAGATGGGCTGAACTCCGATGGACGTGGGGGCAGTCAGAGGGCTGAGCAGGCTCTTGCTGCAGGTTGAAGGTAGCTCTTGGGGCGTGGAGCACGTGCGGACTAGGGTGAGGCAAGGACACCTTGTCCTCCCTTGAAGGTGTGAGCTAGTGTTTGTATCTAGCGTTGCTATGGTGAGGGTGGGCGGGGCTTAGTTTGACAGCCGGGAGCTCTTGCAATGGCAAGAATCCCTCAGCCCATGGCCCCGCCCCTGAGCTGTCAGAGTTCTGTCTTCTGTCCTGCCTGGGCCTGGCCAGTCAGAAGGGGAACTGCTGGGGGGCAAGTTTCTTTCTTTCTTTTTTTTTTTTTTTTTTTAAAGAGAGAGTGGGGGGAGAGAGAGAGAGAGAGAGAGAGAGAGAGAATTTTTTTTTAATATTTATTTTTTAGTTCTGGGCTGACACAACATCTTTGTTTGTACGTGGTGCTGAGGATCGAACCGGGCCGCACGCATGCCAGGGGAGCGCGCTACCGCTTGAGCCACATCCCCAGCCCCGATGGGGGGGCAGAAGGCCTTCTTTCGCTGCTCACGCAGCTTCAGGCGAAGTGGCTGTCAGACCTGTTGCCAGGGCGCGGCTGAGGAAGGAATGAGTGGAGAACAGGCGAGCACGTGAGGAAAACCGTCAATACTGGGCAAGAGGCAGGCTTGCGCCAGCAAAGGACGCGCGCGTGCAAATTCCGCGTGCGTGTGCAAAGTCAGCATGCACGTGCAAAGTCTGCATGCACGTGCAAAGTCTGCATGCTCGTGCAAAGTCCGCGTGCTTGCACCAGATGCAGAAGAAATAGGCAAGGGAACTGCGTGCCTGGTGCGTGCGTGGGTCCTGGGGGACTGTTGAGTGCTGACACTTGGATGTGATTCAGATCCCGCTGGTCCACCTCCTGACCCAGTGAGGTTTCCGGATCATCTCGGAAGGGTTGTAGATGCTGGGTTTGAGGGGTGGCAGCTATGGCAAGGCCAGGGATCTCTCCCCTCAGACTGGTGCAACGACCCTGCCCCTCCCCAGAGGCAGCCAGGATGGCAGCACAGATGGGCTGAACTCCGATGGACGTGGGGGCAGTCAGAGGGCTGAGCAGGCTCTTGCTGCAGGTTGAAGGTAGCTCTTGGGGCGTGGAGCACGTGCGGACTAGGGTGAGGCAAGGACACCTTGTCCTCCCTTGAAGGTGTGAGCTAGTGTTTGTATCTAGCGTTGCTATGGTGAGGGTGGGCGGGGCTTAGTTTGACAGCCGGGAGCTCTTGCAATGGCAAGAATCCCTCAGCCCATGGCCCCGCCCCTGAGCTGTCAGAGTTCTGTCTTCTGTCCTGCCTGGGCCTGGCCAGTCAG